GTGCTCCCCCAGCCTACTGGAGTCAGTGGGCAGCCAGTTGCAGATCCCCAGAGCTGTGTCCTGACTCTAACAGTCAGACTGTGGAATTCACATTGTCTTCGGTGTGTGATAAACGGAAAGCCAGGAGGAGGGAGAGTTTGTAGCTGCTGGTGGCTCTCGCAAGCAGCTTGAAGGCCAAAAGAAACCTACTGCAGAGGAACAAGGATTACGACAGAGCAGTGTTAGGTGTAGAAACAGGAGCGAAGCTTTGGGGATGTTAGCAGGCAGGGTGGCATAGCAGGAGAAGATGGGGAAGACAGCAGGTGAGGAAGGTGCCCTCTTCACAGTGTGACCGGTGAAAAGAGGGACCCGGAGTTCCCTACCAGCCCAGGCCTGTGTCTGGCGTTGTCATTCCTGAAAGGTGTGTGTGTGCACCTCACTCCCTCCCCGAGCTGCGTTTTCCCATCTATAAACTTTGGGGGTTTTTAAAGAGTTTTTCTACTAAGAAAGTGAATTTGGTGATAGGTGTTGGGAATGGACTTACATGTATGATCGTCTTCTTAAAGTTAATTTAAGTTAATTTCCTGGATGATAAACTTATACAAATTGTATATACAATATATACACAACAAGAATTACTGCATCTTTATGATATTATTACTGTCTTCTCACTTCAAAACCCGGCCTTTTTTTTTAGTGGTTATGAAAAGTTTCTGTTGGGTGGGAGTTACTGTCTGGTCTCTGCCTTTTGGTGATTTCTAGTTAGAGTGGGTGGAAATGTGTATAAAATGTATACTGTCAGTGAGACTTGAAATCTAATTGGGTGAGTCCCTGTGGAGACACTTCCAGAGGAACAGCCAAGGTCTCTCCTTATATTTTCATACCCATGCTCATTAAAGAAGAAAATGAACTAAACTTATCCAGTCTGTATTTATTGAGAGGATTTAAAGACTTAAAAAAACTAAATTAGTGTTAATTTGGTTCATATAAAGAATTTGTATGTCTGTTGCATGAATTAAGTTTTAATTTATTGCTTAAATATTAAAATTTTGCTGCTGCAATATGCTAAGCTTAAGAATCTATTTTGCCATAGAAATCATTATGATTCCTCAAATAGCAAAGAGGCAGGGATGTTCCCTAAAGTTATTTGTTTTTATGTTATTGAATACAACCCAAGTTAGGTATTACCCTATTTCACAGTGGTCTGAAACAGCAAACTTATTTAAACATTGAAAAAAAATTTTAAATATTTTTTAATTGATTTCAGAGAATAATGGAGAAGGAGAGAGAGCATCATTGATCGGCTACCTCCTGCACAACACTGCCTG